ACCGGGCGGCATTTTTCTCCGGACAAGTCGCGGTGACCGGAGAACAAGTGCTGCCATCCCCCACCCCCGGGGCATGGCAGAAACCTACGGGTGCCCCATTCGAAATTCTGCCAAAAACAAACACACACGTGTTCCCCCCTACCGTTCCAAAAAATATACAATACAAACTACAATACAAATCCTACTACAGCTAATGGCCTCAGTTGCCGAAGCTTAAGTTCAATAAAAAAAAAAAAAAAAAATACATTAATACCTTATACATGACAATTTGGATGATTTGCTCTGACAATTATTATTTTTATTAATTTTTGTATATTTTTGGGGATATTATAAAAACGTACATGATATATCTGTCCTATATATTAATTTTGTTCTGTGACTTGATAATTTTCACTGGCGAGTCGCGGAGTTTACATGAACCCAATTTTACCTGTTTTTTTTCCTGATGGAGTTAGCACTAAAAAAAAGGTACTTGTGGTGGATTTTACATGTGCCCATTAATCATATTGTTTTTAGTTGTTGTCTGGTATGTCAAATTTTATTTATTATAATTTATAGCACAGGACCAGCTGGACAGTCTGCGCTCCACAAACTGCAAGTTTATTGTTACTTTATTGTTATTATATTTTTTTTTTTACAATTGTTTAGTTGTTATGTCGAAAGGGCCATAGATATTTATAATTATTATTCTATTTGATCATAAGGATCGCCTATTATTTTTATATTTATACTTAATTACCGCAATTTTACTCAATATAAATATCACCTGTATTCTGTTTAGTGTATATATATTATATAATTTATTCTTTTGGGCCAAAAGGGCCGAAATTTAGCCGAAACGGCTACGTTTTACTTTATTACCTATATTTTTTACATAATTATTGTGTCACTGTGATTTATTATATTATTTATTATTATTCAAACGTGTATTATACAGCAACTCATTTTTACAAGCGAGCGTGTAACCATTTTTTAATATACATATTTTTTAATGTATGTTTAAAATTGTATGCACACTCACATATTGACATATATACACACATGTATGCATAAATACACATAGCTATACCACACGCACAACGTATAGGTCGACACTTGACAGTATTTGCCCGGCGACTCCGACCAAAATACTGTTCGAGCTATCACAAACAATACACACCCAGTTAGTCCTCCACATGTTTAAGACCTAGACAGAGGCGAAACGAACCTAAAATAACCTATGAGCAACTTAAAATTGACCCCGAATCCACTTACCCTCCTCTACCAACAACTTAAAATAAACACAAGTAGGTACTATTAGCATTACTATTAGCTACTAAGGGTCGGGTCACATATGCGCGGTCAAACCGCGCGCGGTTATACCAAAATATTGGGTGATTGAAAAATTATTATATTTTGAAACTTAGTAATCTGCGTGTCTTTTAACACGAAAGGTTGGTTTACAGTATAACATATTAGCTATTTGTACGAAATGGAAATAAACCACGATCGGCTAGTTCAGGTTTTGTGTGTAGCAGAAGCACTTGGTGTGTTTCAAGATATACTGTGCAAAGACCACAAAGAAAATACTGGGTTCATCCAATAAATGATGAAAGGTAAACAAGTGGACGTTTTTTAAAGTTTTATAACGATATAAGATTATATCCGGAAAAGTTTTTCATATATTATCGTATGTCAATTAAATCATTTGACGAGTTACTTCAAAAAGTACGTGACTATATATCAAAGAGATATACACCTGGGCGGAATCCTTTGAGTGCAGAGAAAAGATTAACCATTACACTCAGGTAAATCACTTTAATAAATTAGATACATATTATAATATATTTATTTATTATAAGTAGGGTTCGGATTTGAAGGCAATATAATCAATAAAAAAAGCATTTAAAATGTAAAAAAAGGCAAAAAAAAAGGCATTTAATTTATATCAAAAGGCAATTCATAAATATACTACAAAATAAAATAATAAACAATTTTTAAACACTTTCAAATGCACATATTTTGAGAAAAATACAAATTAAAATTGAGCATGAATACTAAACTATATTAAGTTTATGCTATTTTGTATAAATAGATTAGGTACCTTTTTTTAAAACCATGTTTGTCCCAAGAATTAGTTAAAAACAATTTTAAATATTAACTTACTTGAGTTATACTAGTTAATTTAATGCAAAATAAACTAGTTGGTATTAAAAAAAAATTGACTACCATGTATTGTGATAAGCTGTCTTCAGAAAAATTAGGGGTTAAAATATTTTTGTACATCGAAAACGATCTTTCTACGTCCACCGAAGTTATCGGGGTTATTTCATACTTAAATAATTATCTAAATTAAGATTGCAAATTGATAGATCGTCATCGCTTGTGGCTTCTCCAATCAATACTTGGTTGATCTTTTTGATATTTTCCCATCCCTTGTTCTTCGATATAACTTTGTTGAACCTAACCAAATACTCGAT